GTAACTACCACACGTTTATGATGCACCCTGTATATTGGAAAGTAATTTTAGAATGTGGACCTTTTAAACGTGAAAAACTTTCGTTGGACGAATTTATTGTAAACTTCATATTTACTGAGATATCGCACTTTGACGCACTAATGAGCAACCCGTATATGGTATCAAACTAAACTTATATGGCTGGCTAAATGTTCGGATAGGACAAAAGCCATAAGGACGAAGAAGAAGAAACTAAACTTATTTTTGCTATGCACGTCTGAAATCTGAAACCGGTAAAGTTATTTTTTTTATTTTTCAGTCTTTCCGGCGCGTACCTGAGCTAATTTTGAGCTTCAATTTAAATGTATTTTCTTGTTGGTATAAATAGCTGATTTTTTAGCACCCCATCTGAAATAAAAAAGATATATTTATATATGTTGTACCGTGGATGGCCGAGTATCAAACCCTTTCTTTAGCTTCCCACTTTTATTCTACTCGGTATCACCTTAACTACGGAACAGGAACAAACTAACTTCAAAATTACCGTCAACTTTACAAACAATAACAATAACAGACGGAAAGCTCGCTCTACCGACTCGCGGGTTTAACCTTCTTCTGCACTCTGTCGCTGCTGTCACTTCCCTTCCCTGTGTGGTTCTCGTCGTCGCTTATATAATTTCCTCCAGGTAGCCCAGATGGTTCTCAAAATCTCCAGAACAGGTGCGAAACTTCCCGCTTGTCAATGTCATATTTGACAGTAAATGGGGCGCAAATAGGGCTCCCATTTACTGAAATACCATCAATTTCGATCCCCCCATTCCAAACGTGAGTACCCCAGGCCATTTCCGTTACACTGCCCCCTTCTAAACCCTGATCGCCCCGATTAGGTAATTCCTGGATTATGGTTATATCTGGGCAAACGGTGAAGGTGGACAACTTTAAATTTTGCTTGAGGGCTCTTCTGATTGGCGTGTTCTCTTGGCGCACCACGTTGTCCATCCATTGTATCAGCGTCCTCACCAGGTTGAAGAACTTGAACAGTTCGCTAGTACCGGCCAGTTTTCCTCTGCGCTGCTCGCAAACCATTTGCGAACTGGCCCACGCAGACACTTCTTGTTCTCTATTTGTGATCTCTTTAGCTCCGTCGCCCGCATAGCTGGGTCGAAGCTTGTCCGATTCCTCTTGG